ATTGAAGTCATCAGTGACCCCATACGTTAATAGAGACCTTACGATTCTAGGACGGCAAAGCGACGACGACGGCCAAAATAAACTCCTTCAAATAAATGATAGTAAAGATAATTCGTCGTATATTATCAATCGTACGACTTTAATTAATATACAGTATTAGAAGTTGAAGACATGGGTTTTATGTTTGGGAAGAGTTCTACTGAACCCAGTTTGAAGTTGCACTTATTGCGGCTTGAAATGCAGCCGTTGTATCAAGACGTGAAAATATGGGATTTGGCGTTGTAAACAGAGCGAAGACTAGAAATACATCGGCATGCATGTAGCCTGCGTAGCAGGCGTTTAGTGCGGGCGGGAGAAGAAAGGGCGTCGTTAAATAAACGCCTGCCATGCAAATGCCTATATGATTAATTTGTTCTTCTCCGAAGAATCTTCGGAAAAGCTTCCCAACAATAATTTTGCACGCGTTGACGCGTTTATAGTCGCGTATCAAAAATATGCCGCCTGTTAATGCTTTCGAGGAAACTTTCTTATATTTCAAGTATTTAGGCTTCGAAATTCAGTTGAACCAGAACAGAGAAAGTATATTATTAATTTGCTACGTGGTGAAGACGCCGGTTATCGCGATTCTTCCTAAGGAATACGGAAAAGTTTGATCTTTCAATTATACATTTTAAAGTATAATTCAAGACCAGATAGTTGAGGCTATATCACTTAGCATTGCAGCTATGAGGTTGGATGATGATTTTAAGAATAACATTTCAAAACATGCTCAACTGTTATATTTGCTATACGGCAGAATACGTTAATTAAACAACCGTGGCTCTGTGCACGTTGTGACTGACTGTTGTCTAAAATAGCTTCAAAAACCAATTAATAATTCATGAGGAAAACACAAAGAAAAATCATAAACGTGTCGTATCCTTGATATGTGATAGAGATTTCCCTTGATTAACATATATTTTAATGATTTTCTCTACATATACACACCGAATTTTTTGAAACGGCTACTTCGCCAATGAACGTATACTAGAACGATCGTTTTTGAAGCAATTTAAAACATTCGCAGTGCGTGTTTTATCGGACCATCTTTATATCTGATAAAACACTGCTGCTCGTGTTTTAAATAGTGCATAAAATCTCTGCAAATCTCCGTAGTTGCCGAGCAAAAAGCATGCATAATGCTAAATATAAATCTCGACTATGATTGGATAATGGGTGAAGGTGCTAATTACAAAACGTCAATCATCCTTAATGGGCGAAAACAAATTTGTCATAGCCATTTGGGCAGGCGTTTCCTCTGTATCCGCCCGTCAGCAAAATGCCTGCTATGCAGGCTAGCATGCCGCATGCAGTAACCCCTCGCCAATATTTTCCAAACATTAAATTAACAGGAAGTATTCACAAATGGCCAACACTGAACGCAGGCTCGCACTCAAATGTTGCCATGACAACATGATATTCTTAAATTTTTAATCTTTTCATATTTTTTGTACAAACCTGCAAAATAGTTGAAAGATTCGTATACCTTTAACTATACAACAATAAATTTCCGAAATATATGCTTTAGGTATATTATTTTGCATTTTGTGAGCTTTGATTTAATGTAAAGTTTACCTTGAAACGCTTCGCAAAATGTTTTGAAATGTTCATTCAACTAAACTACATTTGCCAATAAACTGTTTTTACTTAATTAATAAAACATAATAAGTTAGGTATAATGTCAGTTCAGTCTTCAAATCAATTTGTTCTCGTTTACATTTTAAGATTTTTTCTCAAATTAAACGGTAATTTATGAAACTTAATTAGAGCTTCGTTGAAAAGGAAAACAGTTCATGTTTTTAGGCAAAAATTTAAAGCAACAAAATTCGTGAACATTAAATATTCAAAGCAAACTTGCCGTCTATTTCACGATTTCACTTGTTGTGTATAAAACGATTTTCCAAATATATGTCTTTTAAAACTGAAATCTTGCTTATCCCACTCCTACAAGCAATCAGCCATATTTTTGAGATCAGTGAGGATGACCACCCACTCAAATACTCAAGATCGTTGATCACGCTCGCGATCATTGATGAACTTTATACTTCGCTAATGCTTTCGTTTCCCCGGGTGTAAATAGCCAGGGGGAATTAGTACCCTCGCCCCGGGCTTACGCCCAGAACGGCGCTCCGCGCCGTTGGCTCGGGGATAATGTCTAAATTATTCATATATTGTAATTATTCTATTCTTTTCAATGGTTGTCGTCACGTTGCCGTCCTAAAATCGAAAGGTCTCTAATATATAACGTATGGTGCGCGCAAGAAATCGTTAAATCAATTAATATTTTATAATTGGACATGTATCACAGACAATACTGATTCCCGCCGACAAAGGGAAATAAGGCTTTGCCGTTTTTCAAGATGATTTAAGTTGAGTTTCCTCCGTTTCTAATCTGCAAAAACATGTCAAGATAAGAATATTACTTTTTTCTACAATGCGCACAGAAGCCCAGGTTATAATAGTTGTTTATATTTTTAGCCCGCATAACATTGGGCCGCCCGCACGCCTGCTCTTAGCAGTCTTAGGGTTACTTAAAACAGGTAGGCAAATTGTCTGAGCATGCGCAAAAACTGCTCGTCTTTTCAGCGGGAGAGGACTATATGCGTGCTTCCACTTGTTTGATGTAAAAAACATAAACAACATGAACGAAGTCTTCGAAAGACAATTTTGCAGCGGCTGTTTACTGCGACAACTAACCACAAAAAATTGGATTAACTGACAAAAAATGTTGCAGTACTACTTTGATTCCTCTTTTGCCAATTTTTTTACAATGGAAACAATTAATATCGATTATTTCAGTGCAAAACAAAACATTCTTTCAAAATGTCGTCTGATACCTTCAATAACATGTGAAATTCAAACCAAAAATACTAATACTTCTTCTTTTTTTACAAAGTAAGTTTTCCATCAATATTACGTTCCTGCTCGAGATTATTTGCCATCAAAAACACTCTTTTTGCAAGAAACGTCATTTTCGGCCATGTTTCAGGGAAGAATTCTTGACTGCTAATTTCCCGATTGCGACAAGTAATTGTGGTCTTGATTAACGTTTATTAACGTTTACGTCACTCTGCTATCTTCATTTTGATTTTCCTCTGCTGCAGTACGAGAAACAGGGTAGTGAAATCTGTGTGTTTGTTGTTTTATCAATTTTTGCTGGCAAAACGAAAGTGGCTGCGATAAATTTGGTCAGCGACGACAGTTTTCCCACCTGTTGTGACTAAATAAACTAGCCGGAAGGATACATAGCGCCCAAAATAGCCCAGACAGACGGGCACATGGCGCCTATAACTTCCCTCCACTTTTGGACTTTAAATGCATTTCTTTCCAATTTAATCGATATCGCCGGCAAGAATGAAGCTTAAATTACTGTAGCTTCAAAATCCGCGAAGGGGCGTAAAAATTCGGCCAAAAATACATCCGTGGCATGTAGGTGCTGTTCAGTAAACAGGAAGGCGTTAAGTCACTAAAGCCAACTCGAACTTGATTGGACAACGAATTTACAAACATATTCAAATCGTATGCCTGTAAATTCATTGTCGATCGTCTTTGATTAAAGCATCGTTAGACGTTGTTTTGAGAGTTGTCATGCTACGATTCTTGACGGAGATATCGATTAAATTCGAAAGAAATGCCATTTAAAATCGAAAAATCAAGGAAAGTTTTGGGCGCCGTATGCAAGTCTGGGCTATTTTGGGCTTCCTTCCTAGCTTGCTTTTGTTTATTTAATAACCCTAAGAGCAGCGCGCAGGCGGCACAATGCTATGCGGGCTAAAAATATAAACATCTATTTGCGGTCCTGTGAAATGCGTGCTACACACGCAATCATCATCAATCACATCTTGTAGCAAGTTTGTCAACAAGCCGTCAACAAGCATGTCTTCGCACTGCTTGTCACAAGTTGTCAACAAGTTTGGAACAAGCTGTTAACAATTTGTAACAACCGCGTTGATATTATCAGGCTTGTTATAAGGTTGTTCCAACAAGTCTGATATGGTCATGATATATAGCAGTATTGTTACAACCTTGTGTCGTCAACCTTGTAACATTCCTGTTTATCATGACTGTATAGGCCTATCAGACTTGTTAGAACAACCTTGTGACCAGTCTGATAATGCCATCAAGCTTGTTACAAGTTGTTAACAGCTTGATCCAAAAATTATGATTTTGGAAACAAGCAGCGAAGACAACTTGTTGACAGCTTGTTGACAACTTGTTGACAACTTGTTAGACAGTGAACGTATTTGTAACAAGTTGTTTGCATGCAGACTTGTAACAACTTGCGCGTTTTTACGTGTGTATTTGGAGACCCAGTCACTTGCAGTTGTAGCTACATGCTGGACGCGTTCCCTGCAAGTGCCTTGTATAGAGTTACAATACATTATAGTATTTGTGACATCAAACTATCACTATATTTTTATAATAATGCTTGCTAAATTATTTCACTTGCATTTTTAAGATTCCTAGACTTACTTTCAGTAAATTTTAGCTACTCGTAGGCCTATGCATTATAATCAGTATATTTATTAGTTTATTCGCATGCACGCTTATTATCAACCAAACTTCGATTATGGGCTTAACTCGAAATTTTGAATATTATAGTATAACGGGCTTAGCTAGATTTTTATTCTGATTTATTTGCCAATCTCCATTGGAGACAAGGATAATAGTTTGTTTGAAAGAGAAAAGAACACGCTTTGAAGTAAGCCTAAAAGCGTTTAACTAGAAATAGTATTTCGAAAGTTATTAAGCACAAAAGATGAATTGCGTTTATTTTGATACACCCTGTATATAGCACGAATAATGTCTCGGGGACCGAATCACAAAATACTATAAAATTAATAATGCTTCAATATTTGTTTTCCATAATTTTATACTCAATGGGCGGAAGTTGAAAATTACACATCTAGTTTGCAAATGCAAGTTGTAAAATCTTATTTGGTTTAAAGAGCACGATCTTACCACTTCATTAAATGGCATGTCTTCTTGATTCACAATCAGACCAACCACGCTGAAAGTTTTTAGATATTTCAAAAATTATCGGCATAGAAATATGTAAATAAATACTTTTGCGAGAAAGTAGACATCATGCAAATGTAACGAAAGTAAAATGTTTTACACACCCTTTCTGTCCGTGTCTACTGCTGAACTTATCTCCAATCTCAGGACGCCGCGTTTGACGCAAAAGAATTTTGATAAGAGGATCCTGAAACATTGAAAATATATATTACAGCATCAACCTCACCATACTGACATTTCTCTAATATGGACACCTCTTTAATACAGGCACCTCTCTAATACGGACAACTCTCTAATACAGACACTTCTCTAATACGGACACCTCTCTAATACAGACAACTCTCTAATACGGGCATCTCTCTAATTAATACAGGCACCTCTCTAATTAATACAGGCACCTCTCTAATACGGACACCTCTCTAATACAGACACCTCTCTAATACAGACACCTCTCTAATACAGACACCTTTCTAATACAGACACCTCTCTAATACAGACACCTTTCTAATACGGACACCTCTCTAATTAATACAGCCACTTCTCTAATACGGACACCTCTCTAATACGGACACCTCTCTAATACAGACACTTCTCTAATACGGACACCTCCCTAATACAGATACCTCTCTAATACAGACATCTCTCTAATACAGACACCTCTCTAATACGGACATCTCTCTAATACAGACACCTTTCTAATACGGACACCTCTCTAATACGCAGATTCTCCAGAACGAATAACATCTCTCCAATACGGACGCCTCTCTATAATACTGACATCTCTCTAATAGGGACAATTCTCTAATACTGATATCTCTCTAATACGGACATCTCTTTAATACGGACATCTCTCTAATACTGCGGACACTTATCTACAGTATGTCCCTTCAGTGCCCATAGATTCGATTTTTAGACGACCTTACATTACTCTCATTCCATAATATTCAGAAAAGAAGAGAACATCAATACTCACCCCATCGTCATTAGCCGTTACTAACACTTTCTCAGCAAAACAGCTTACTGGTCCTTTGTAGCTACAAAAATGTGTAGAATACATGATAAAGATCATTCTTATAAAAGATAATTACTATGTTGAGTGAATTACTATATTGAGATATGGTGGATGAAATTTTTCAAGTGATGTCCACGCCAGGCAAGTAGAAAACTAGTCAACAATGCTGAAATTTTATTTAGGTAGATAGTCCATTTACACCTACAAAATTTCAGAAACTTTGACCGAAGGAAATTTTAATAAATTCATTTTAGTCCAAAATTTAATCTTTGTCTGCTGTCGCTTAGGCCACGAAAAAATCTACTTGCAAAAAATCCCCATTTCACATAAACAGCAAATATTTTGCGTCATGTTTGAAGACCTTATTTTTCGCTGCTGTTTCTTTAAAACTATAGGGAACCACCTTAGCAAGAGGTAATAGCACTAGCGCTCTATTCGTATCTGATTCTATTCACGACACTTACCTGACTGGGACATCTTGATAATCCGCGCGGGCAGACATTGATCCTGAAAAAAACCCCAATCATATGGCTTCACTTTGGTCATAAGATAATTTAACGGTATTTCGTGTAAATCGCTTGGATGAAATTCTTACAACAACTTATGTAAAATAATGGTACAGATTATCGAGACTATAATGGAAAATCAAGGGATGCAATCTTCCCTTGCTCCAACGCGCGCGTTCAGGGTAAACAGCCAGCGTTTTAAAGCTTGTTTCGGTGTTTCCACTCAGGAAAATTATTCCTGGATTGGAACGGACAAGAAAGTTTTTCTTTGTCTTGTGAGCTCTGGGTTGGAACATTAGACTTTAACACAAAGAAAAATTTTCTTGTCCGTTCCAATCCACGGATAATTTTCCTGAGTGGAAACTAGCCTTTAGACCCCGTTTACATGAGCTCGGAACGAAGTCAAACCGGGACCATTTCGTTTCGGTCATATAGTATTATTTTTAACAGATTTTTACATGAGACTGGGACGAAAATAACTCAGACCGATCTCAAGTCCAATCTCGTTCCCTGAGCCTGCGGTAGGACCGCAGGCTCAGGAAACGAGATTGTCTCAAGTCATTCCGCCTGCTGGACCAAGCCGACTGACTTCAGACCGGCATGAATTCAGACAGGGATGAATGTAAACACAAATACATTTCAGACCGGTCTCGGCTATAACCTTGACATTGGAACAACACATGCTAAGAAAAGCGATCTACTAAAGGGGAATAAATTGAAAATTTCATGTAAACATGTTGACAATTTCAATTTTCATTCCGGTTTGAGACTGTCCCGGTCTCTTGTAAATGAGGCCTTAAACTATAAAATTCCTCTGCAGACACAAAAGACACAATTTTACCTGCTTGTAAAGAGCTTGACACAATTGGCATGGATTTATTGACTAATATTTGACCGTTATCTATTCTTTCTCCTAGAGAAAAAATAATACAAAAATTGTAACTTAAATTGTCATTTTAAGCAAGAAAGTCGATCTACACACAAGCACTGCGCATCAGGATCTCATGATTGTTACAATTTAGTCACTAAAGGGTGTTTAAAAAGTGAACAGTTTTAAAATGTCAAAATTGCCAAATTTTATGTCAGTATGTGTAGTTTGGAGTTCTTCTGGTGTCTCACTCTATGAATTGCGTTTCAAACCGACCATATTTCTACGAAAGCTATTTTTAAAATGGTCAACAGACTTGCTGCACTGGAAAATTTACTTTCCAAAAAATTTTATGATAGAGATACCAGAAGACCCCAGACCACCCATACTGACATAAAGTTGTCACAAATATTGCGGAATTTTTACTTTAGTGGACATTGGGCTTCAATTATAAGGATCCTTACATTGGAATAATCTTCCACACGAGGCAAAAATTGCTGATTCCTTATATAGGTTCTTTCAAAACGATTTTGAAACACAAATGAGTTGAAACTGTCTCGTTATTATTTAACAATTATT